GGGCGGCACCCGGGCCCAGGTCCCCTGACCAGCTGGTGGCCTGGGCCCGGGCATGGTTTCGTGGTCCTGGGACCCACAGTGGTCTCCAGCCTCCACCTGCCCCACCCACGGCAGCAGTGGGCTGGCAGGGCTTCCTGGAGGAGACACACAGACACACACACACACACACACAGACACACAAACACCCAGACACACACACACAGACACACCCAGACACACCCAGGCACACACACACAGACACACACAGAGACACACACAGACACACAGACACACACAGACAGAGGACAGACACCGGCTCCGCCCTAGAAGTGTCAGGGAGCCCAGACACACACAGAGAGAGACACACACAGACACACACACAGACGGAGGACAGACACCAGCTCCGCCCTAGAAGTGTCAGGGAGCCCGCGCGCACCCCAGTCGCAGGGGTCACCTCTCGGTGGGAGAGAAGCACCCACCGCCCAGCTCCGTGCGGCAGAGGCGCTTCTGGGGAGAAGTCCCGCCGCCCCTTCCTGCCTCCCTGTTGTCGGCACTGTCATTACTTAAAAGAAAGAAGAGGGAGGGAGAGGGAAAAGGAGGCCTTGGGGGGGGGGTGCTGACGACAGTTTGACAGCCCAGGTGGCAGGTGGTTCCTGACTCTGACTCATTTCCTCCTCCCCAGGTGGCCCCCTCACGTCCTGTCCCCATGCAGGCTCCGTCCTCATCCTCCTCATCCCCCACACCCCCCGCCCCCGTGTCTAAGTTCTCGGCTGGTCGAGCTGGCGCCCCTGCAGCCACCCACCTGCCCTCGCACCCACCTGGCCCAGCACCCCACCAGGCAGAGAAGCCCCTGGGAGGGGGGAGGGGCGGTTGAGATGGGACCTGGCTGGGTGCTGCCCCCCAGGCACCATCAACCCTAACCTGGGGGTCGCTGAGGTCTTGAGTGGGCGGGACTGCAGCTCACAGGGTGGACTTGAGGGACGACCGAGGGCCTGGGCGGGCCTGGCTCAATCAGGTGGAGGAGGGAGCCCCGCAGACACACACACAGACACCCAGACACATACACACACAGACAGACAGACACACACACGTCTGGGTGTGTGTGTGTGTCTCTGTGTATGTGTGTGTGTCTCTGTCTCTCTCCCTCTCACTGTCTGTCTTGCTTCTCTCTGTCTGTGTGTCTGTGTGTCTGTGTGAGGGAGCCCCTTGCCACAGCCCGCCCCCCCCATGGCGTGGGCCAGCTCCTATGTCAGACCTCGCACTGTCCTCCCCCTCCAGTCCTGCTTCTCATTAGACACTGGCTGGCATGCACCCCCCAGGCTACCCTCCCTCCCCCTCGGGGACCTGGTGTTCCCCTCAGACGGGTGAGCAGCCTTCCCCAGGGCATCGGCGGCCCTCGTTTCTGATGTGTGTGTGAGCCCACGTGAACTATGTTAGTGACGGTCCCCGTTTTGCAGGTGAGGGGACTGAGGCTGAAAGAGACCAAGTTCATGAACCTGCAGCCAGGACTCGCCAGGGCCCCGCCCAGCAGGGAATTGCCTTGCCTGGGTCCCCTCGGGCCCACCGGCTGCTGTGTGGGCCCAGCCCTGGGAGTTCCCC